TACTGTATAATGCAATGCAATGATGATCTAGAGGAGTTGGAAATTTGTGTATCAACTATGATAAAGTAGGCTATATAGGGTTAAAAAAAAGCAGGTTTTAGGAAATACTTTTCCAGGAAACCAAATTAGCCGATATCATTGTATATGAAGTTGTTGTCACCAGCTTATGATGTCATCATGTGATGATGTCATGCTGCATCAGAGCTGATCTAATCAACACTGTGAACAAATGCAGACCGTTTAGAACAGTAAATTGCTTTATCAAAATGATGATCCAAACATGATATGCCACTTCCTGTAATGTGTGGCACAGTCATGCAATGTTGGGGCAATCATCAGTTTTGAAGGTGTTTCTTGAGCTATTGTTGACCAATTAGGATAATTATGGATTATCTTTAATTTATAGTTATGTTTGATTATCAGTTTTGTCATGATGTCCATGTTTTTGTTCATACTTCTTGGGATGACTTCAAACAATTAGAGCGTTACGTGGTTATAGCAATTTCCTAAACGAACTGATCACTGTTTGACTTTTATGGATGAGTCTTAGTACCTGGTCCAAAAGCATAGAAAAACATATTACATTTGTGATGTATAGAGCTCAGTGTTTCTGCTACAGTATTCATCATTGACCTCTGCTCCTCATCTTTTCTGCTAAATTTGATTGATGTTTTGGCTGAACTCACATGTACTGGGAATTCTCTGCCTCCAGGCCGCCCCACGTTCATTCACTCGCCAGTATCCCTTTCACGCTCCCCCATACTGGGCTGCAGAGGGACTCTCCTCCGCCTACTCACTCTCGCTGCAGGATCTATCGCTCTAACAGCTCCCCGTGACCGTACTGGGAATTCTCTGCCTCCAGGCCGCCCCACGTTCATTCACTCGCCAGTATCCCTTTCGCGCTCCCCCATACTGGGCTGCAGAGGGACTCTCCTCCGCCTCCTCACTCTCGCTGCAGGATCTATCGCTCTAACAGCTCCCCGTGACGATAATGAGAAGTTAACACAGTGCCAGCACGGCCATAATTGAGTGAATTTAGCACCTTGGACAGCGCACTAAAACTCCTCATTGCTTGCCTGACCCCCCATCAAGTTTTGTTTGTGCGTTTGTGTCCGTGTGTGTGCATGCGGTGCGACACACCCCAGGGCTGATTGGGAGGCAATATGCTCCAACACAGCGCTCACACACACATGCTAAGGGGTAAGATCCTGGTGAAGGTTGCATTCAGAGGGGGGAGCAATTTTCTGCCTGTCACTCGGTTAGCTGGAGCAGCACCCTTCTACATTAACTTCTCCCAAAGACCTCCCACACACCAACATACAGGACAGAGAAATATAAGGAAAACGCTTGAGGACTGTGTGAACGGTTCTGCAATTCAAACACCTAACAACAGTACCCTTACGGGAAAAAAATACATGAAATTTAATTACATGTAAAATTAAAGGGCCTCATTACTTTGTATGCGTGAGCAGAACAAATTTCTTTGTAAATTGTTTGTAAAACCATTAATTTGTGTGACATTTTATGTTTATATACATTATATTTACATTTATATAAATTAAACAATTAACATAAGACTGATTTGATGTACAATTTAGATTTAAGACTGAATAAGAAATGTTTTATGATTGATTTGTTTTTTATTTATATTTGTAATAATTTATGTATTTTTTTACTGAAAGATTTACATTCACAGAAATAAAACAGTTTATGATTAAATGCTTTTATAAACAATATACATTTATAAGAATTCAACAACTTAGGTATGAATTGTTTTAACAAAAGATTCACATATGAATGTAACCAATTACATATTCATTATTAATATTAATTTTAATGCAACAATTTATACACAAATAGTTCTACTATTTATATAAATGCTACATTATTGCATTTATATCAATGCAATAATTTACACAAGAATGGTTTTATAAATGATTTACAATTACAACAATGCAACAATTCACAGAAGAATGCTTTTACAAACAATTTACATTTGTGTCAAAGCACCAATCAAAGTAAGAATGGGTTTATGCACTTTTTGCATTTATATCAATGCAACATTTAATGAAATATAAAGTTAATATACGAATAATTGACATTTATAACAATGTGACAATTTATGCAAGAAACATTTTATGATTACATTTATAACATGCAATAATTTATGTAAGAATGGTTTAAGTTTACATTACAAGTTTACACGAAAATGCATTATTAGAGTTTTTGTTTTGCTTCTTTTTCATGAATGTGATCCAGTGTGTTTATTTAATCATGCGGACATATTTAAATAGCATTTGATGTTTCCACATGTGAAACATTGGTAATGTGCTCCAAAATCACAGAAAAAAAAAAATTCATGTGGTTTTTCAATAAGGGTATTTTGATTTATTGCCTTTGATTTATGAAAGAAGTCGAATGACAAACCTACATGATATGATCCATGTTGCATCATTAATCCATTGTTTGTGAAAATTTGTTCAAAACGCAGAATTTCGTGTCTCAACTTTGACAAGCACGCCGTTTGGTGCACTTATCCCATGCACATCCCATGTTTGATAATGTGGAGATATTGCACAAGCCACATAATCACATTATTAAGAGAACACAAAAGTCGCTAATGTTTTCCAGCCATTGCACTTAAACAATCATGACACCCTTTGTCCTTCTTCCCCATCATGTGACTGTGCAGAAAAGCGTATGTTAAAGTAATTACTTCTCATTAGCGGGAACGCATCGATTCCATCTCTGATGTACCATCATCGCAACAGCTCTTACGAGAGCCGGCTCTCTGCTGAGTTATTGCCCGGTACTGTGAAACCGAGTGACCTTCACTGCAAACATGGATTGCATTGTCCTTCCTCAACGCAAAGCAGATGTTTGCTGAAATACTGCACTTTTTCATCCTGAGAGACACAGAACAATTGAGCAAACATCAGCTCCATGTGTTCCACTTGGCTGTGATCACTAATGTTATTAAACGGAAATTCAACCCTTTTTCATCTGTGAAAGAGAACATCACGTTACAAGTGACAAGTATTATGGATTTTAAATTTATAAAGAATGAACTGAGGATGAAACTGGTTCTCAATCTTTTTCATCATTAATATTTCCTTTGTTTGTGTTTTCATTTGCATACAGGAAGTGATTTTGAAGAGAGCAGCAGATCTAGTGGAAGCACTTTATGGAATGCCTCATAATAACCAGGTGAGGAAGAAACTCTGATTATGATTGATACATGACAGTCGCATAAATTCCCTTCACCATCAGTGGGCTGTTAACACATTTTGAAAATATATGAGCGTTTCTGTCTGTATTTTTGGGCCTGCAAACTTAAAGTAACCTGCAAATTAAAACATTAAAAAAAAAACCTTCTTAGACTCTTGCTAGTTTATTTAATTTGTCTATGAATTATGTCCAGCAGACAAACATAAGAATTATGATTTTTGTATTTTTATTTATTGATTTATTCCCCCCATTTTCAAATGTTGTGGTGGCATTTCCAACACGTCAAATAATGTATTGGGTTTAATAGCGTCCTGTGATGGAAATGAAAATGGTGAAAATGGCATTTCAAATATTTTTTTTTAATAAAATGAGCGATTACTTTGTTTTGCTAAGCTTATATTTTCATAAACGATTACACTAACTTCTGAAGGAAAAAAAATATTAGTAACAAAACAGTTCGTCATGAAGGACATGACACCACAATGGTAATTTGTGTTACAGTATGTAAATTAATTTAACGCAATAAATATCAAAATTGTTCACTTTTATTTGGATTTTAACAGTTTTTAACATTTTTTATGGTGCATTTTGTATTAGTGAAAGTCTGGGTCCTACAGAATAGAATAGAATAGAATAGAATAGAATAGAATAGAATAGAATAGAATAAATAAGTAAATAAAGTAAAAGTAAATAAATAAATAGCCTTTCTTTTGATGGCCCCGTTTAGAAATCCAGTAGACTCTAAGTAATTTTGCAACTATATGTCAACTACAACTCTCATTAGAGTATTGGTAGACTGTTAGGTTACGGTTAGGGTTCGTAAAATACGTTGCCATGTATTTTCAAACTTACTTATATTGAGTTGAATGTCTGTTGAGGGACCATTAAAAAAAGTGTTACCAAAATCAGTCCAAGGACATAAAAGTTGAAAAACCCCCCATTTATTCTATGAAAGTGTTCAATTGTGAGAGATGATGGATCATTTTTCCTTAGGAAATCATTCTTAAGCGAGCAGCGGACATTGCTGAAGCCCTGTACAATGTGCCACGAAACCACAACCAGCTCACTGGCCTCACCAACAACTCCGTCCATGCAAGCATGATGGGAGTGAACTCCTTCACTGGACAGCTCGCCGTTAACGTCTCAGAATCCTCTCAGGGTGGAAACCAGGGTGAGATATTTCCTTTTCTTGCTTCTTCCCTCTTTACAGACTCTTGCTCAAGTGTGCGCTAAAGAAAATGTGATGTGTAGGATGAAGTTCATCAAAGCTAAATACTACCCACTACTTTGACGTAAGGGTGAGTCGACTAAGTTTTCTCCGTGTCTGGCTGCAGGTTACAGTCGTAATACGAGTAGCGTGTCACCACACGGTTATGTGCCCAGTTCCACCCCTCAGCAGAGCAGTTACAGTACGGTATCCTCCAGCATGAATGGCTACGGCAACAGCGGCATGACCAACCTGACTGGCTCCCCGAGCTTCCTGAACGGCTCTGCCACCAACTCACCCTACGCAAGTGAGTACTGAGGTGTGATATTCTATAAATTCTTCCTTACTTTCGTATAGGGTTGGGTATTGTTTGAATTTTATAAATTCTGATTCCGATTCCGATTCTGCTTATCGTTTCCGATTCTTTTCGATTCCCAGTTTCGATTCCAATGTGATTAAATAATGATATAAAACATTTATCCTGTGTCTCTTTTTTGCAATCCATTTATTGGAGCTGAATACGATGAACAAAAATCAACAGGCTACATAAAAACTGGACTCTTTAAGAGCTGTTTGTGTGCAAAATAGAACTGCATGATTCTGGAAAAATTTAGTTTTTTTCCCCCAATGGAAGTTGTGGTTCTCTCATGATTCTGAAGAAAAAACATTACACAACTAAACAAAATCACATGTAATTTATGAATGAATGATTAAATGACTCACTCAAGATGTACTTGTTTCATTACTGGATGAATCAG